AGGAGCTGCTTGAGAGGTTAGGGCCAACTAAAATCAGGGAGATGGAAGCAGGAGAGAGCGAGCAAAGCCAGGGCTATGTAGTAATAGCTATTACCAAAATGCGGAAGGTGGTAGATAATAGCAGCGTAAGAAAATGAGGTTAATATGCGCCGCGTTCGATGGATAAAATGTGGAACCATCGCATTAAACAAACCAAGCGATTCACAGTAATGCATTGTGCCGCTCCCAAACAGCAGCCCCAAACCTACAATAAATAATGCCATCCTCTAAAAACATAATAACACTAAATCAAACAATAAAGTTTTAAAGATTGAATGATATCTAAAAATATTAATCATTTTGATTGCATGTTAAAAAATTCACAGTGATAGAGAGATTTCAACGCTACAACTTTTTTGAAACTTCAGCATACAAGTAAAATTCATTTTAAGCAAGATGCTAGAAACTTTTTTGGCGAAACTTTTCAATAAGAGAAAAATTGAGACTTTCGAAAAAAAAATCATTATGTATATTTTGTTATAGAAGTTTGCACTTCTCCATAATTGAAGAAGACGGGTAAGAAAATTGGGAGCTCTTGGTAGGCCTCTAGCAATTGAAGTTGGAAATTGTCAATGAAGCAGTAAAGGGCGACGGTCGGTGAAATACAAAATTTTTATGCTATAGAACTTTTGTATTTAACATATGCACATCAAAATTTTTCATCAAAATGATAGAGTTGTAATTAAGGAACCACGTCCATTAATAAGTACGTCAGTTAATCATTTTGTTCAGAAATTATACATTCATTGTTGTTGGTTTATGATCTCCTTATAATACATTAAAAAAATATGTTTATGATTTATTTTATCACATTTAATTAGTTTGATTAAAAATCAAATAATATAATCAAAATCATATATAAATGACAAAATTTTATAAAAGAGACATTTCAGTACCTAGCACACAATTTTATGTATTTACATATCTCACACATAAACATTTTAAATTATATTCAAACGACCAAAGCTACCACCATTTTGAAACATAACCAAAGAATACAACCTGATATGCCATCAACAAATTTATATCATTTGACACAAATTTCGAGACGTGGCATGAATCTCGAGAGAATTTTTTAGCAAGAAACATTCAAACTCCTCCGACTAAAAGTTAACCAGAATTCTGATTTTAACAAACTTAAGTCAGACTGACCAGCTTGACGATAAGGATCCAATGATATCAAAGTTTGTTCAATCATAGTCAAATAAAACCGTTAAAACACTTTTGAAAGCTTTCAGTGCATAATTATAAAGCCAACCAGATTTCAAATATGATATGCTTATAGTGAAATCAAGCATTTCAACAATATGAATCCAACAAGTTCAATAACACTCAGTTTTGATATCATTAAGTCACTTAAATATCCATAAAACTTTGTCGATCCAGGAGACCTAGACCGAGAGCCATAAGAAGATCAAAGCTGGAACAAGTTGAAGTACATCATCATTTTTTGCATTGAAGGTCTGACAAATTTCTTCCACTCATGCAATCGTCGACCACCATAGACCACCACTTGATGACCATCATCTACCACTGTTGACTACCCTCCACCATTGGCCACCATCGACCACCACATGCTCCTTGCAATGAAGTCGTTGTGGTGTCACAATGTTAATTGTGGAATCTCAACATACATTATGGAAAAGTGAAGCAACTGATGGAGCAATACATCGTCTAGTACACTGTGCAACAATGCCCCCCAAATATAGTACAACAGCACACCCTGATTATAGTGTAATAATGCACCCAACATACGGTGTAATGATGCCTCTCGAAAATGTGTAACAATGCACCCTAAAGATGTTGACTCTCACTAGATTTTTATAGATCTCTTCGTGCAACTTAACAGTACGACCCATGAGTGCAACTAAGGCCTACGTACTCTAAAACTCGTGCATCTCCCGACTCCAACCTCTGCGGCCTACAGACAACATCACAATTAACCACTACAACTTAGGTGAACAACCACAACCTACGTGATCCATAATTCGTGCAGCTATCAACTTTGGTCTCTACTACCTACAGATATCAACACTGCTCGCCACAATGAGATAGGCGACCAACTGCATTCTGCATGGTCCGCAACATGTGCAACTACTAACTTTGGCCCTCTGCGGCCTAAGAAAGTCATCACAACTCATCACCATGACATATGCGATCAATTACATCCTACGTAACCCACATCTTATGCAGCTCCAGATTCTGATATCTACAGTATACGAACGTCATCACAACTCACCACTATAGTCCATGTGACCAACTAAGGTTTACATGGTCCATAGCTCGAACTATGTGGCATATGGACGTCATCATAGCTCACAATTACGTCCTAAATGACTTACAGGTCATGCAATTCCCGACTCTGATATCTACGACCAACAAACTTTATCACAACTCACCACTTCTGTCTACATGACCCACTGAGGCCTACATGACTTACAGCACATGTAGCTCTCAACTCCGGCCTATGTGACTTATGAATGTCACTACAACTCATTACTATGATCCACATGACTAATTATGACCTATGTGGCTCATAGCTCATGTAGCTACAGGCTCAGGTATCTGCAGTCTTCAGACGTCATCGTAGCTCGTCATTACGATTTACATGACCAATTATGGCCTAGTGACTCACAGCTCGTGCGTCTCCCAAGTCCGGCTTCTCTGCCTATGGACGTCATCATAGCTCACCACTATAGTCTATGTGACCAACTACGCTACATGACTCACAGCTCGTGTAGCTCCTATCTCTAGCCTTTGTGACCTATATCTATCAACTAAACTTCAATATTTACCTACAAACCACACAATTCTTTTGTATTGCGTGTCTAACACCTAAACTTATGTTTCTCATAAAAACTACACCAGTCTTATGTATTACATATGTAAACCTAAACCTCAAATTTACATACATTTCACACAATTAATATGTAATACATATCGAACAACTAAACTTCAATTTTTTAATATATTCCACTTACTTCTTATATATTACATAGCTAACAACCAAACTTCAATTTTTTTCATAAAGATCACAAAATTCTTATGTATTACATGGATTACAACTAAACTTCAATATCTACACCAAACAATTCTTTTGTATTACCTATCTAACTCTGAAACTTCATTTTATTGCACAAAAAAAGCATGCATACGGAAAAATAAAAATGGAAAAGATAAAAATATGAGAGAAGTTTACCAAAGTTTGTAGTGGAAGAAGACTCGTCGAGGATGCGACTTTGCTGGTAAAAACTCATGGATGCTCGATAGAGAAACCCAATCGTCGGAGCGGTACTTATGAAACAGTGACGGGCGCAAATGAATTTGGGGCATGAGATTAAAATCTTAGGGCATTTGTGTCTGATTTACATTCCAACACAAATTAAGTGTTAGAAATATTGTATGATTGTTCGACGCTATTAAGTGTGTTACGTTGACAATTTGTCGACGCAAAATTTTTGCAATGACGGTAAAGTCCACACAAATAGTTTGCATCAAAATCTGACGCTAAATCTGTCACTGATTAGTTATTTTTTTTAGTGTCATGAGCATCTATTTCATGGATGTCGCATTTCAACCACTATTTCAGATCCACATGTGAAATGTATTCTTCTTTATATTTTGGTTGTACTCTTTTTCAAGCATTAAGTCATACATCTAATATCTCAGTTAAGATCTTGTACAAACTCTTCCTACTTGACATTCGAGCGGATGAATATCATATTAAGCTCGATAGAATTCATATCATTTGTAATAACAGATCACCAATTCAAAAAAATAATGAGATGTTACGAAGGCCATAATACTGAAAAGAAAAGAAATAAATCTCTGAAAATTCATGCCTCAAGGAATATCTCTCAATTCTTCTTATCTTAATTCTGTATTTTTATGTGATGGTTGCAATTTGATCTAAAATGCTATATTCAAGGTGGTTTGACTCTGCCCAGTTGTTGGAACTTATATATTGATTGATTTTTTTCAACTTGGAGATTGAAATTTAAGATTTTGGTGTGGATTATGAGGCTTAATTGTATATGATTTTAGCATAAGCCCTCTCCGTTATTAAGCACATAAACGATGGATAGCACACAAATCTTACAGGGGATGTTGCATACCCGGTTCGGTTATTGGTTAATGAGTTTATTAAGGTAATATTTCAACTTCCATGTATATGGTTGTGCTAAAAATTAACTTTTAACTTGGCTCTTGAATAAATCTAACTTCATTACTCAAGCCCCTAAAAATTAATTTAATGCAATAACCATAAAATTCAGTGAGTACTCGTACTTCAAAATTATAATAATAAAATAAAGAGTAATTTATGATTGCGAGAAATACTATAGATTAGTACAATAACATTAAACTTTCAATTGTAATGATTTATGATAGTTCAAAGCATTCAATGTGTCTTAATATGTCAGCGACATCTATCTCTCTCTCTCTTTTTCTCTCTCTATAGATAACGGTCATACGAGCATCATCTAAAATTATACAAGTTAAGGTATATCAATATCACAATTTGGGTCTGGTTCAATCCGACCCAAAAATGACTCGAACCCGACTCAAAAAATATTCTCTAATGTGTATTTACATATGTAACACCCAAACTTTAATATTTACACTTACAACACTTCAATATCATAAATTTATATATGAAAAGTTATATTTCATTTTTAATTATAAAATAATGATAATTAGAATTTGAGTGATATGCATATCAATATCAAAATATACTTATTTGAATATCTAAATGTCCCTAAATTTTTTTTGGCGTCACCCTCCCCATTATGAAAACAGATTGTGGAAATTGGAACTAGTCCCATCAGAGAACGCCAACCCACAACCCTTCTGCAGTCATGGGCTCCACCATCTAATTTCGGCACATGAAAAATGCGTGTACCTCGTGCCGCCGCTCCTAAACTGCACCCCAGACGCAGTTTATAAAATGCGTGCACGCCGGAGTGCAATAAATCGCTCCAGTAGAACGGAGAAGAACAGTCTGTGAATACCAGTGACGAAAGCTGGCATAAATTTTGAAGGAAGATTAAGGTGAACAATGGCAGCCCGCAATGTGGACTGTGAAACAGAGCTCTGTCTAACTCCTTGCGGCCGCTCAAGCAATAACAATCAAAAAAGGTAGGTATTATTGATTAATTTCTTATTTAACGACCGCCTGTTAAAGTTGAGCAAAGAATTCTGATTATCGCTGCGATTTTAATATGTTGCATTGGGGATGGAAGAACGGAGATGTCTGTAAGTGGTGATTTGGCCGGCGGTGGTAATGAGCTGCAGAAAAAAATCAGTTTTTTCTATGGCGGTCAGGTTTTCATCTGCGACGTCACTGAGATTCAGGTTACTGTACTTCCCACACTCTACCGACTACACTGATTTACAAATATGATATTTGTTATAGTTAATTATTATTTGAGCTAGACTTTATAAAATTATATCTTAAAATTACTCAAAATTATCATCCAATTATATTACGAATAGTAATCCAGGGGTTAATATTGCAGGCAAGAGCAATAATATGCATGGCAAAGAGGGAGATGGAGGAGGCGATGATCAGCAGCAGCCAGTCAGCTTCTGCTCCTCGTGGGTCATGGCCGGAGCTTCACGCGCCGCCGGAACCACAGCTGCTGAGTTCGAGGCTGTCGATGAAAAGATCTCTGCAGAGTTTCTTACAGCAGAGGAAGAGTAGAGCTTGTGAAAGCACCGGACCGTCTCTGTTGCAGAATCAACAAGATTTACAGTCTGATTCGTCGTCTTCCTCTTGACGCTGCTGATTGGGATGCATGGGGGACGGGAGTTCGATTTGTTCTTTTAACATTAAGTTGGTTTAATTTAGTTTATTATTGCCATGGATTTGGAGTTTTAATGAAGAAGATGATGGTGCTGGCTTGAATTTGTGTTTGAGGGATCTTAAAATTGATTTCATAAATGTATGATGTACTGATTTGCTATTTATTCTGAGTTCTAAAAGCCTGAGAATTTTTGTTAGTAGAGCTGAAGCGCCTTTAATTTTGGTGTTTAACCCTAGTTATTGTTGCACTTGTACTACCCTAAATTAATCGCCTTACATTGAGTTTTGTGATCCCTTAACTGCTACGGCCTCAGCCTCTCAGATTACTAATTTTGAAGAGGCGTTCATTGCTAAAACATTAAGGTGCTGTGATCCTCTAACTGCTACGGCCTCAGTCTCTCAAATGTTCATCAAATATCGTTCAATCTAGGGAAGTCCCCTGAGTCATCCAATCAAATTTATTCAAATTCTTGCATTAACTACACCCAGAACTCTATAAATAGAGTCTCACCCCTCTCATTAGGGTGGAAGAGAACTTGAAGTCAGAGGAGAACTTAAATCCTGAAGAGAGAGTTTGAAGCTTTGAGAATGAGCTAAAGTTTAACAGCACTTCTGTCGCTGTCGACCGCTATCGACAACCACCGACCACCATCGAGCACGCCTGACATTGTAGAACATCGTCAACCACCACTGACCGCCGTCGACTATCATAGACCATTATAACAGCCGTCGATCGCTATTAGTCACCGACTGTTCCTTCCAAAAATTTCATCTGCATGTCAGCGTTGCAACTTGAGAGATATTCTAACTCTTTCTCATTTGTGGGAGAAGTGATTACAATTATAATAATCATTTATAGTAAAACTCTTCAGATTGGCAAATCCAATGGATTTTCTCTTTATGAGTTTTTCACGTACAAACTTTTGGTATCATTGCTAGTTGTTTTTGTTTCTTCTTAATGTGTGGTGACTCTTTGTACATTCTAAGACGATGATATGATACTCTACTGCCACTAATTTACTAGCACACTTCAGCTTTAATATTACAAAGTCTTTCACTATATTTGGAGGTGAGAATTTACGTTTTTGTTGAATGCGATGACAAACATTTATGTCAAAGTTGTCAATGCCAAAAATCAACTATTTGAAAAGTTAGTGATGCTGTATTCGTAGTTGGGGTTGAACGTGAGAACCTTCAATAGATAACATTTCAGTGATTGGTAAGCCAAGGTCCAAATGTCAACTGGAATTCTAAAATTTTATAAGAAGCCATTTGAGATTATTTTTATTTTATTTTATTTTAGCTTATTTTATTTTATTTTTTATCTTGTTTTATTTTATATTTTACTTTAAAATAGAGCATTTTTATCCGTTGTGATATCTTTTTAAAACACTCAAAATATACTAATGCTGTCCTTAGTATTTAAAAAAACAAGTTAAATTTGTTTATAAAAATAAAAAAATAATCAAAATAGATAAATAGATAAATAAAGAAAATAGATAATTAATCAAAATAGTCTCAAACAAGGCCTAAGTTTAGGAAATTGAAATCATCACTTAAATGAATATAAACATGGTCTAATCATAATTTAAGAAGAGGTTAATTTAATTATTTTCATAAAAATTAGACACTCCAATGTGAGCTTTTAGAAATTCATCTTTAATAATGCATTTATTTTTTAAAAAACCCAATACTACAATGATCCTCAAATTGAGTGATTTTGAGCTCATTAAATTTATCTTGTCGCGGCCATTTCATTTTGTCTTTCAGAATTTAAAATTTGTCAACATTTAACCCTAATATATATATATATATATATTACGTCAGCTAAATCAGACATGCGGTCCATGACGTGGATCACTTTGCGCCACCAGACGCACAACTTTTGATTTGATTCACGCCATCATAAACACGCTTAACATTTTCTCCTTAAAAAAACGGTGAGTTTTCAATAATACTACCATGTTTTTAATTTAAACAAATTTGAACTCTGACCTCAGCGTCCCTAACTATGGTTGGGTTTATAGTCACCATGAACGTCGCTATTTTAACTACCCCAAAGTGTAAAATGTACTTTAAATGATTTTTCATTTTGGAACTTCTCCCCTAAATTTTGAATATTTTGTATACTGAAAGACAATATTAAAATTCGTACTTCATTAGATAAATTTTCTTCTGGCACATGAAAAAATCATATTTGATCAACTGCCGTCTGCTTTTCATGTTGAAAACAATCTCATATGTTTCTAGAAAAGAAATTTAAAAACGCCATGTAAGATTTTCTTACTTGTTTTTACAAAGACTTAATTAATTTAAAACAACTAAAAAAAAATAAAATGCGATCGAATATACACAAAATAAGCCACGTTTATATTCATTTATTTGCCGCACACCTTAAACATGACGGTGGTTAGAAATACTGCATTGGTCCTGTCATTTCCTTGAGTTTGCCGACTTTAACCAAAGAATTTTAAGTTTTGTTTTTCATGTTTTTTATATTAAGGGCACGTTTTGAGGGTATTTTCCTCGTCCCCGCGTGTGGGGGAAGCGGAGAAAATAATATTATTTTTTAATTTGTCAACTGATGAATGGGAGCTTCTTTTATATCTGTGAGATTAAAAATAATTTTTTTTGATAAGTCACCAATAAATTTTTATCATGTGATACAAATTTTGAGATGATATTTTAAATTTGAAACATTTAAATTATGATAAAAAGTTATCTAGAGCTCTGATTTCTGCAAACTTATAGTCAAACTGACCGATTTGATGAGACGGACCTAATGATATGAAAACTAGCCCAATCTGATTCAAATCCCTAATGATATGAAAACTAGCATATGAAAACTAGCCCAATCTGATTCAAATCAAGCCTATATCAAGTCATTGAACTACATTTAGATGATTACCAGACACATTTGAAAGATCAAAGAGTTGTCGAATATGACAAGTTTATACTTGAATCGAGCGGCTCGACAAGACGAATCCAACGAGCACAACATCACTCAATTCTGACATCTTAAGTCACTCAAATGTCTAGTAAACGCCGTGTGATGGAGGGAAGCTCTCCGGATCGTCCGATCAAAATGATTCATTTTCTTGCATTAATTGCACCCATAACACTATAAATAGAGTCGCATCCCTCTCATGAGGGGGGTTGAAGTCTGTAGAGATAGTTTGAGATCTTGAGGAGAAGCTGCAGTTCAGCATTACCGCAAATCGTCGTCGAACACTGCTGACCTCCGTCTTCAACCACCACCGATCGCAGTTGACCATCGCCGACCGCCGAAGACCATCGTCGATCGTCGCCGACCTCCGCCAACCGTCATCGATCACCACCAACCAGACGTTGTCAGTCAACATTGTAATCTGAAAAAATATTGTTACACTTTCCCGTCTGTGAGATAAGGGGTTTCTGTAATCATCAATCAATAGTGAATTTTCGTAACTGGGTCAGACCCCGTGATTTTTCCCTTTACGGGTTTTCAACGTAAAAACTTCTGGAGTAGTCACAGCTTTTTTCTTTTTCATCTGAGTGTTTGCAGAATTCCCGTATAACGCTAAGACAACAATCAGTTACTCTACCGCAGCAAATTTTCTGACACACATCACTTCTATTTTTCGCATATTATCTGATCACCACACAATTCTTAAAGTACTTACATATCTAACATGTAAAGTTTGATATTTATATTTATCTTTGTGTAATAACATTATGCATGATAACGTGTGTTTCAGTTTTAAGAAGATTATAATGGCGGTAATTTTGATGTGATGAAAAAAATTTGAATGGTATGCATCTAACTATGAATGTTTTAATTGTTTAGTATGAAAATCTATAAGAATTGTGTGGTATGTATGTAAATGCCCCTTTTTAGAACAAATATTTACATACAAACCAGTTAATTCCAAATATTAACATGCAACATTTAAATTTCAATTTTTACGTATATTACATCGCATGTAAAAGTGTATTTTATTTTTCTAGAGTTGTATTAGTGATATTTTTGAGGTGGTATGAAAAATTTGGATGATATAAATATAAAAAGTAGAATTTAGGTGTTAGATATGTAATTACATAGAAATTGGGTGGTTTTAAATCCTAGCTACAACCAATCCTGACTCGGCTCGTTAACTCTTGAATCAACTCAATTAAATAATATATATTTAAAAATACATAAAATAATTTTTTAATACTTTATATCAATAATTTCTTATTATTTATCTCTTAATTGCATGTCCTATTTGCCATTTTATCATAACACTTGTTTGGATTAATATTGTTTTCTCTTTTTCCTAGGGTTGAACTCGTAAAAATAAGCTCGAGCTCGAAGTCAAATTTAAACTCGATTAATTAATAACGTTTAAGTTCAAGCTGAGATTGACTTGAGCTCTGCTCGACATGTTTAGACCGTTATCCATGGCCTTCTTTGACCACATAAGATGAATAGAGATTGTGATTGATCTCAAAACTACGGAAATTATAATTATGGTGTCTGAACTAGCGATATGACATATTGTCTTCTCGGGCAAATGCACTAAACTAACAAATAGGCACCATACCAAGAAATTTAGCATCAAATTTTCTTTGGCTCTGCCACTATTGCATGTGTTGCTAAAATCACATGTAACCTTCAAACATGAAAAAAAACTAAGGTTAATAATAGTTTGCAAATGAAATCACTCGCAGAAATTCATTAAGATCATACATAGTTATGTTTTTCTTTTTAATTACTAGAAGAATTTGTCAAAAAAATAGCAAAAATAGATTTTAAAAAGTGCATCGATTTATTCGAAGAATACAACAACAAGCTTTTATCCTACTAAGTGGAGTCAGTTACATGAATCCTTTTTTCTCCATTGAGTCCTATTGAGTGTCATATTTTCATTTAATTCTAATAAATTAAGATCATTTTTTATACAATATATCCCAAGTTTTTTAGATCTACCTTTGCTTTTATTAACATAAATCAAATCTAATACATCTACTCTCTTAATTGGATCATCAGATTGTTAACATTTAATGTGGCCAAACCATCTAAGATGACTCTCTCTCTATTCTTGTCTGCAACTGGAACTATATCAACCCTTTCACGGATATGTTAGTTTCTCATTTTGTTACTGCGTGTTAAGCCACTCATCTACCTAAACATTCTCATCTCAATAACACTTAACTTTGTTTTATTGTCCTCTTTGAAAGGCTAACATTTTGTGCTATAAAGCATTGCAGGTCTCACCACCATCTTATAAAATTTTCCTTTAAATCTAAGCAGTGTGTTTCTATCACACAAGAAGCGCAAGGCATTCCTCCACATCAACTAGCCAACCTGAATTTTGTTAATAACATTCCCATCTATATGACCATAATTTTGAGCAATAGACCTGAATAGACCTGAGATATCGAAAACATTCACACTTTTAATGATGTGATCACCCATAGTTATTCAACTCTATGACTAAAGCTACTACTACTGAAATTACATTTCATGTCCTCAATTTTAGATCTACTCAAACGAAGGCCTTCAGACACCAATGTAGACCTTCATAATTCAAAATTTTTCCTTAATTTTTTTCTTTAGTTTTATCCATAAGAAGGATATCATCAATGACATAGATTTAATTGAAGAATAAGTAGTAAAATTTCATTTAGCAATCATCATCATCACCATCATCTTCTCTTCTTCTTGTGTAGCTCCCCAAAGGCCTTTTTTAGGTGTAAAATTTTAAATATAAAGTTAGGAAAGTATATTTTTTTAAAGCAGTTGAGTCACCTCTACTTCCTCAACATTTTCAATTACTTTCCAAGCAAAAGTACCTTCCCACTTGTGTTATTATAGTCAGATTGAAAGTATGCTTAAACAAGTCGAGGAAGCAAACCCCAAAACTATTAGTAAATATTAAATTCCATTCTAAAAGGATATATTCCTATTTTTTATTATTTTATTATATTCTTATAAGATATTAAGGAAAAATACAGTAAGAAAGATGTTGCTTTCACAAATTCTTTCTTTAGCTCCCTAACTCCATGGTCTTTCACCGGTGTTTGATTCTTAGGTTTCATAATAAACTAATCATAACATGTTTAAAATTATAATTTAGAGACTCGCACCAAATATGCTTCCTCCTTCAAGATCTATTAATATTTAAAGACTGACAATTATATTAGGTAGGCATTTAATTTAGAAAATTAAATCACGAGTTTAACAAAAAAAAATACAAATAACCTTAAAATAGAGAATGAAATTACAAATTTTTTTTGTAAGGCTATCATCATTACTCAATAAATAGTGAGTATGCCTCAAGTCCTTGAACTCTTTGATGCATTCCTTGAGAGCTCTTCTAAGTTCTTTAATCTTGACTTCTCTCTATAGTGATTCTCTAATCTAATTTTCATTTTGAAAATAATTTTAATTCACTAAGAAAGCTCTTCTCAATGTCTGATTTCTCCAGGCTTTGACCATTCATCATTTAGCCAATAATCTAAATATTAGGAGCTCATAAGTTTCCAATTGAAGATGTCTACCAATTTTCATTGGCAATCTCAAGTATAAGGGTTTCTAACATATGTCTCGCCACTCTAATATTAGAGAAGCCTACATATGAGCTTTATGATCTTATTTTAAGAAAATCTTAACTATGATTTCATAAATTAGACCTATAGATGAGACCACCCATATTTGAATAATCACCATAAATTATCTTAAAGATCTTATACAAACATGAAGTCAAATATACTAAAGAAACTCATCCCACTAAATCCCATGACATGCTGTATAAATTAGCATGTTGCTCTTATGTAACTCATTGGGGATTTTGGTGTCTCTTTACTATTTATTGGCGCAACAAGTTGACTAAGTTAATTGCATGCATTTATTAACTTTGAAAAGTAATGAGTCGGCATATATAGTTGTGAACTAGGTAAATTATGTTATATTAATTCCTCTTTGGCCCTAGTGCATGTTCAAGGCGGACATGAACTGGGTCTTAAAGTTTATGATATTCAAAAGACATTGAAAAATACATTGTGTTGAATGACCTCTCAAGCTGTGGATCCATCATGATAGGGAAGAGGTTTCATGGCTGTTATTGACCCATGAAGGACTTCCTCAAATATATGATTCTTTAAAGCTTGCCAAATACATCATAAATATTTTATGGCTTAGGATTTAGGTGCATTTTACTTTGCGAGGGAATATAGGAGCTCACTTATAATGCCCACAAGTTAAGAAATCAAGTAAGTTTGGCAAATTGGAAAAGTACCACAAATTTTGCATCTTCTGAAATTTAATTGAAGAATTTTTATAAAATCTTATGCAGAAAATTGATCAATTCCATATAAAGCATCATGTGTTAAATCCTTAAATTTCGTATAATTATTGTTCCTCACTGACCTTACACCATTTTATTACATTAGTTCGATCTAATAGGGTTGCAAGCTTCGATTTTCTTCCCCTCTCCACAGTTCCTTTCTCCTCCCTCCCAATTCTCCCTCTTCCTCATGACAACCACTTGGGGGCAGCTCATGAAGCATCCCACACCCCATGCACGTCGAGCGAGAAAAAGGAGGCACTTGTGTGAGAACCCTCTCTCCTATTTTTTTTTTGGCTGTAAGGGATTTTATACCTTTTATTATTATTTTTTTAAATTCTAAGTTCATTGTCTTGGTTTGCGCATTATTGGCTCTGCACAAAACCTTAATAATATGGGTGTCCTCTCTAGCTAAATTCAATGCTTTGCGCGTGCTCACACAGTTTGTTTTGTGATCGGAGGTCGCCTGGACAACTTCGTTGACGATCGAGACAATTTGGGCTTGATTTGCGCACGAAGTGGTTTTATGGATTCCTTGAGTAATGGAAAGCGAAATATGAACATAATACGAGTTCATATCATTTGAAAAAAAACATCCTAAGCACGAGATATAAAAAATTGATGCCAACAAATCTATATTTCAACAATTAATATAGTATAGCTTCCATTTGTTGGTCAATTTGAACCTCTCTAAAATATCTGAGTAAGCCACTTTGCTATTACCTATAGTGACTTAAGGAAGGTCCACAAGAACAGTAATGATAACCTAAATTCTAAGATAGCCTCAACTAAAGGCAAACTTGCTAGTGAAAGGGATGACACAAGGAAATGGTATGCATGTTAATGATATTAAAGGGAAAAAACTTAAAAGAACCGAAGTCTAATAACATTATTGATGATAAAGACATCTAGTTTGTGTACAACGATGAACCTATTATCGGTGCTAAAGAGGTGAATCTAAGCAAGGTAGAGCTTTACAATTTCATTAAAGATGAAGAAGTTCATTATAACCAGGTTGCAAATATGCTTAAACAAGTTGAGGAAGTGAACCCCAAAATTATTATTAAATATTAGATTTCATTCTAAAAGGATATATTTCTATTTTTTATTATTTTATTAAATTTAAATAAGATAGTAAAGAAAAAAATATAGTGAGAAATCTGTTGTTTTCATGAACGCTTTCCTTAGCTCCCTAACTCCATAGTCATTCACTAGAATTTGACTCTTAGGTTTCATAATAAGCTAATCATAATTTGTTTAAAATTATAATTTTGATGCTCACACCAAAAAGTCTTTCTCCTCCAAGATCTATTTATATTTAAAGAATGGAAGTTATATTAGGTAAGCATTTAGTTTAAGAAAATCATGAGTCAATCAAGAAGAATTACAAGCAACATTAAAAAAGAGAATGAAATTAGGAATTATTATCGTAAGGCTATCAATATTACTCAATAAATAATAAGTATACATTTAGTACTTGAACTCCTTGATGGCTTTCCTTGAGAGTTTTCTAAGTTCTTAATCTTGACTTCTCTTTATAGTGATCCTCTTATCTCATATTCCTCTAGAAAAAAAATTTTAATTCACTAAGAATGCTCTTCTCAATGTCTAATGTCTCTAGACTTGACCCATTAACATTTAGCCAATAATCTAAAAGTTAGTGGCTCATAACTTAGCAATTGAAGATGCCTAAAAATATTCACTAGTAATCCTAAGTGCAAGGGCTTCTAACATATGTCTCATCACTCTAATATTAGAATAGCCTCCATATGAGATTTATGAACTTACATTGAGAAAATCTTAACTATGATTTCATGAATTTGGCCTATAGATGAGGCCTTCAATATTTGAATAATCACCATAAATGACCTTAAAGATCTTAAAAAAACATGAAGCCGAATAGAATAAAGAATCTCATACCACCAAATCTCATGATATGCTATATAAATTAGCATGTGTTATTATGCAACTCCTTGAGAATTTTGGTATCTCTTTACTATTTATTGACACACCAAGTGGACTAAGTTAACTGCATGCATTTATTAATTTTTAAAAGTAATGAGGTGGCATATATAGTTGTGAACTTTGCACATTATGTTATATTTATTCCACTTTAGCCCTAGTTAATGTTTGAGGGATGCATGGAGTGAGTCTAAAAGCTTATAATATTCAAAAGACATTGAAAAAATACTAGTGAAACTTGAGTATGATTGTATACCTTCATTAATTTGTTTATTTATAGTGAATTCGATGCAAAATATTTATAAAAAAAATTAGCAATACTTTCTTGTCACCTTATGATGAGCTAAGAAGTATGCCATCAAAGTTAGGTCACATGAGCATTTAAAATAATTGATTTATGAAAAGCATAGTTGAATGTTGTTACTCTAGAAATATAATGTTTGATCAAAATATTAAAAATATATTTACATGGAAAGTGATTTAGTTGAGAAATATAATGAGATTTATTGTGATATTTAAAATTGTGTGAGTTATTCAAATTCCCATTGCAAAAACCCCACTCCAACTCTCTTCCTACCTCAGCACCATTGGCGCCTCTCCCTGCAAGTTACCTCGCCATGCTCTATCCCTTCCTTCTCCAACCCTTCATCTCCCGCCAAAATCCCATCCTTTTCCTCCTCGAAGCCTCCTCATGCAACACCCTTTCCAAGATCATGCAGGCTCACTCTCTATTACTCACCTCCGGCTTTTCTCTTCACCCCTTCCCTCCCAGCAAACTCCTTCAACTCCTGCTCTCCCTCCCGTCCTCTCCTCCCCTCCTCTCCTATGCCCAGCGCCTCTTTCACCACTCCCCTTCGCCTCCTCTCTTCTCTTACAACTCTCTCATTAAAGCTCACTCCAACGCTTTCTCCCTCCACCTCTTTCGTTCCCTGCTTCGTGACCCATTGGCTCCTCTTCCTAACCAGTATACGCTCACCTTTGTGCTTGCTGCCTGCCGGCCCGATAGTGGGTTGGAGCTTGGTGAAGCGGAGCAGGTCAGAGTACATGCTGTTCGGCGGGGGTTTGAAACCAATTTGTTTGTTTCGAATGTTTTGATAAAATTGTATGGGAGTTGGGGATTGGCGGGTGACGCGGAGAAGGTTTTCTGTGAATGTTCTAACAGAGATTTATTCTCGTGGAATTCGATGATTGGAGTTTATGTTGGGAGCGGGGATGTGATGGCTGCAAGGAAGGTGTTTGACGAAATGCCTGACAGAGATGTGGTTTCGTGGAGCTCGGTGATCGCGGGATATGTGCAGGTGAAGGATAGTGCTAGTCCTTGTGATTAACTTTTCTTGGTCTTTAGTTGAAATTCTGTGTTATATCTTATGTTTTAAATAAACGAATTTATATGTGCTGACGTCGGTATAATGGTATTTATAGTTTAAGTACTTTATCAGATCAATTGAAAAACATAACATGATATAATAATATAAGACCAGTGATCTCCTTCACATGTTTTGCTTGGGTAATGTAACTTGCAGAAACCGATTCAAGAAAACGGGAAAAAAAATAGTCACAGAGTCGCACCACAACAAGAAATTCAGTATGAAATAAAAATTAGGAGAATAGTACAAATTACACCACGTCCAAGCTTCTTCATACTTTGGAAACACAAAGACACTCACTCTCACTTCTTGCACAAGAGAATGCAAAATTCCTTGTGAAAAAAAACACAAAACATACAATTAAAAGTCACAAATGACTCTCTTCGGGCCTTCTATTATCGTTCTTCTTGTTCGAATGAAAAATAAACTGGTTAAAACTTTCATGAAAGTGCTTCCTATTGGGTCGTAGCGTTGCAGTGCCAAGATGTTGCGTTGCAGCGCTACTATAGTAGTGTTTTGGTGCTCTAACATGGAATTGTGGTGCTCTAATATGGTGTTGCGGCACCATAGTCTCAAGTTTCAACATAAATTTTCCTCTAGGTGTAGCACTGCGAAGCTATAAAGACAATGCCTTGGCTCTGCTATAGTAGCGACACTACACATATTGTAGCGCTCTGGGTACAATTTCGGTGTGCCATGTATCAATTTTTTCTTTTGGGACAGCGCACTCTTTTGCAAACTCATCGCCGAGTTTGATAGGTGAAATTGAAGAATCTGAGTGTACAATTGATCAACATAATCAGGCTTCACATAATAACAATATATTCAATAGCCATTCTGAACAATAACCAATTGTCACATATTTTTAAATTCGATGAATTGAACTTAACATCTTTGTCGCATGCTTATGCTAATTTGATGTCAGGCTATGTTTCAATCTTGCAGTATGGTTGAAGTCTCTTTTTTACAGTAAAATTTGCTGAACATCTTCTATTTTATCTATTTTTGCTCTCTTTTGGTAAACATTTTTTGGTGTCTCTATTGCTCTTGTGGTTCTTGCTGGATGACTTTTAAAATTCTTTCAAATTTCTGTTACATCTATCCTCTAAACATATTTTTTTTTATCACTGGTTAGTAGGACTGAAACACCTACAAATATCAAGCCGTGCGTACCACTTTGAAATATCATCATCATTTTTACAGTTTTTTTTTGGTCTAAAATTCCAAGATAAAATTCATTAGTTATGTGTAGACAGGCTGGTTCTTGGAAGCCATGCAACTTTTCCAGAAGATGCAGCTTGCTGGTGTTGGACCAAATGAATTCACCTTGTCAACTATTCTTGCATCTTGTGCTAATTTGGTGGCCTTGGATCAAGGAAGATGGATTCATGCCTTCATAAACAAATCCAGGCTCGCGGTGAATGAGAGGCTGCTGGCAAGTCTAATTGACATGTATGCCAAATGCGGAGAGATAGACTTCGCATTAGACCTGTTCAATACAGCAGATAGCCCAAAGCAGACTGTGCGCCCATGGAATGCCATTCTCACTGGTCTTGCTATTCATGGTTACTCTGCTGAAGCAACACAACTCTTTCAAAGAATGGATCAATCTGATGTTGTCCCTGACAAAGTAACATTTGTATCTCTGCTAACCGCTTGCAGCCATGGAAGATTTGTAGAGAAGGGTAAACTCTACTTTGATATGATGAGGAGAAGATACACTATTGAACCTGAGCTTGAGCACTATGGTTGCATGGTCGATCTTCTTGGCCGAGCTGGGCTTTTACAAGAGGCGGAAGATATCATATCAAACATGCCCATGATTCCAGACGCTGCAACATGGGGGTCACTGCTCAGTGCCTGCCGCATCCACAAGGACATGGAAAGGGGAGAAAAGATTGGAAAACTCATCAAAGAGTTGGAGCCTAAACATGTTGGTTGCCATGTCTTATTAGCTAACATTTACTCAGGATACGGTAGATGGAATGATGCAAAAGATGTGAGGAAGAAAATTGAAATGGCAGGTGAGAGAAAGATTCCAGGCTGCAGCTCCATTGAAGTGGATGGGATGTTCCACCAATTTCTTGTGGGAGATAGGTCTCATCCCCAGACACAGAGCTTATACTCATATTTGGATGAGATGGCAGTCAAATTGAAGATATCTGGTTATGTTCCAGAAGTTGGAGAAGTGTTGCTCGATGTTGATGTTGAAGATAAGGAGACAGCTTTATCAAGACACAGTGAGAAATTAGCTGTTGCTTTTGGATTGCTCAATACAGGAGCAGGGATGCCTATTCGGATTGTGAAGAACTTGCGAGTCTGCGTGGACTGCCATCATGCCATGAAGTTGATCTCCAAGGTGTATAAGCGAGAAATAATTGTTAGGGACCGGATTAGATTTCACCGTTTCAAAGATGGATCTTGTTCTTGTGGAGATTATTGGTGATTTCTTGCTTTTCTGATAACAGATCTGCTCAATAAGAAAGAGTTTTTATTGGTTACTCTTGTCATTTAGGACAATTCTTCCAACTTCATAGAACCAAAGAAGGGGGGCAGTGGAAAACTTAAGCCTTTCTCTACAAGAAACTGTGTTTTGTAAGACATATTTTTGTTGCCCCCACCTAAATGACAGAAAACATGTCTTTAAAAAAGATTCAGAGGGTTGTGTTATCCATAAAGCCAAAGAGAGGAGGCATATGGGAATCCACATCAATTGAAGTTCAAAGAGAGGCATCCTTTGGGAAAATGTATCATTTGTTTAGGAAAGGATTGGATGATATTCAGAGGGTTGTGTTCTAAATAAATTGCTGCAACATTTTTTTTTCTTCTGATTGTTTGTATAATGTAAGCTGCTTTTCTGAAAGCATTTATAAAATGTAGTTTTTTGTTCTGTAAAGTTATCTGCATCCTGCTTTGTGCAAATGCATGCTGTTTTGAACTTCTTTTAATCACTTTCGTTGGTTGCTAAATTGGGCGCTAATTTATGCATGCCAGTCTCAGGAGACAACAATTTTGAACTCCTTTGTAACAGATCACCTCTCATGATTGGTGCCTCCTGAGACTGGCAAGCGCATGGCAAAACTTTTTTTTAGACATTTTCTAATGAACCATCAGTCTTCGTCAGCCCAGCACCGGTTCCTTGGTTCATGGATTAGCAATTATTTGGCATGCAATATTCTTTATTTACATCAAATACATCAACAACATTGGAGATTTCTTTCAAAAGTTAAGCACAATATATGATCTGACGCTTATCCTTATAAGCTTTGTCCAGATGTAATCATTTCGAGATGCATTCTAAAGAAAGAATCTAGTTTTCTATATTATTCTCACTTATTTGCTTTAATTTTAATAGAACAATTTATTTTTCAATTAATTGGTGAAGTTGTTTTTAGGCATGCTATGATCAAGATGGTTATGATCATTCTAGAATTTTTATGTATCTATCATATTAGTTAAAAAATAATGGTTTTATATTACTGGCACTTGTTTATAGGATAGTTTATTTAACTATTAAAGTTGATCGCTATTATAGTTGTGTAAGTTTTAGGGTGTCCCCTGGAAGCGACGCACTATATAGCCTAAATACAGTGCTAGGGCGTCCCCTGGAACCTAAAAGACACAAATAAAATTATTTTATGCGTAAAATTAAAGATTTCAAATTTTGGGATGTTCATAAAGAAGCAAATGTTGTGTGGGATAAAGTAACATACATTATTAAACAAGTAGCAAAATATGTGCTTGGAAAATCAAAAGAAAAAGTTTTTATAAATAAAAAAAGTTGGTGGTGGAATAATAATGTGCAAGAAATGATAAAATATAAGAAGTTATATTATAAAAATAGGTTTAAATGTGAAAGCTTAGAGAACTGGGAAAAGTATCAAACGACCCGCATTGAGTCTAAAAGAACAGTTCGTGACGCTAAAAATTTTGATTTTAATGATCTTTATAATAGATTAGATACTGAGGAGGGTGGAAAATATGTGTATAAACTAGTCAAACAAAGAAAGAAAAAAAGTAAATATTAAACTCAAGTAATGTGTATTAAAGATGAAAATCAAAAAGTACTTTTCTTAGAAAAAGATATTCAACATAGATGAGTAAGTTATTTTGATAAAAGTTTTAATGAAGTTTCTGAAATTCCGATCGACCTTAGTGATATTAATATCATGAATAATAATAAAACTTTTCTTTTTACCGTCGTATTCGTAAAAATTGAAGTTGAGGAGGCTTTAAAGAAAATCAAGGGTGGAAAATCTGTAAGACCTCATGATATCTCAATTGAAGTGTGGAAATATTTAAGAGATTTTGGTGTTTCTTGGCTTACTAAACTCTTTAATATTATTTTAAAAACTAAAAAGTTGTTTGAGGAGTGGAGGACGAGTATTTTCATCCCCATTTTTAAGAATAAAGGGGATGCACAAGAGTGTGCAAAGTATAGAAGAATTAAGTTGATGTGTCAAACTTTAAAATTTTGGGAGAGTAGAATTGAACATAGGTTAAAACAAATTACAAAGATTTCTCATAATCAATTTGGATTTATGTCGGGCAGGTCTACTATGGAAGCTATACAATGAGAGGTTTGATGGAGAAGTTCAGATATAATAAGGAGAATCTACATTTGATTTTTATTGATTTAGAAAAAGCTTACGATAAGATTCCAAGAGATATCTTTTGAAGAGTTCTTGAGAAGAAAGGTGCTGATATGACTTATATTCAAGTCATTAAAGATATGCATACTAGAGTTGTTACTTGTGTTTGACCAAATATTTTCTTATTTTTGTTGGATTACATCAGGGATCGGCTCTAAGCCCATATCTTTTTGCTTTAGTTATGGATGGTCTTACTGGACATCTATAGGAGGATGTACCTTGGTGTATGCTTTTTGCTGATGATATCCTTCTCGTGGATAAAACAAGAGAAAAGCCCAGAAAAAACTTGAATTATGGAGGTCAACATTGGAGTCTAAAGGCCTTCATTTAAGTAGAACTAAAACTGAGTACATGGAATGTAATTTTAGTAGTAGTAGCTCTAGTGACAGAAGTGTGAATTTGGGTGGTCAAATTATTAAAAGGTGTGAACATTTTAGAAATCTTGGGTCTGTTGTTCAAAGCGATGGTGATATAGATAGGGATGTTAATAGTAGAATTCAATTTTGTTGGTTGTTTTGTTGGTTGAAGTGGAGGATGAAGTGGAGGAATGCTTTGGGCCTTTTGTGTGATAGAAAAGTACCGCTTAGATAGAAAGGAAAATTTTATAAGACGGCGGTGAGACCTAGAGTGCTCTATGGCGCTGAATGTTGGCCTTTGAAAGAGAAGCATAATAATAAGTTGTGTTGTCGAGATGAGAATGATTAGGTATTAGGTGGACTTTACACTCAGAGACAAAATGCGGAATGAATATATTTGTGATAGGGTTGGTGTAGCTCCTGTGACAGACAAAATTAGAGAAAGTCGTCTGGACAA